TTGTAGGAGCCACAGTTGCTGCCTAGGTTGTGTTCACTGCTAACATTTTCTTCCAGTTGGTATTTCAAGACTTTGGTGCCTTGATGTAAAACCTACTTACTCTAAAACCTACTTACTGTAAAACAGCCCTGGTCAATCTAGCAAATTCATTCTTGGTATGTGCTTGAGCCTTGTGATTTTCTTTACGGTTGACTTGCGTAGTGCAGCCCAGGGGAGCAACATGGACAGCTCCATTTTCACTGTGCTCCTCGGCCTCTTTCCTCCTAAACACTTTGATTAGTAAAGACAACATTAGTCCCCTCATGGGATGATTAACTTCTGAGGCAAGGGCATGTTGGTTTCTGTATTTCCTGAAAGTCATTAATGGTTTAAGGAAAGTGCATAGTCACTTCAGGGGACAACAGACCTGAGCTGTGTTTATATTGTCAGGATTTATTTATATAAGAATAAGAGGCCAATAAAAATTTAAGAGGTATTTAATAATCTTTATGCAACCCAAAGCTTATCTCCTCCTTCAAGTTGACAGTACAGGTCCCTATCAACAACTTATCAAATGTTTGCAATACATTTTGATCATGTACCTGTATGCCATGGCTCAGTAAAACCATTGCTCATTTCCACTTTAAGCTGAAGCGTTGGTGTGGACAGAGCCAAATACACACTGTGGGCAGTGATATGCTAATTACAGCCTCAGTGAGTACTGAATCATAGTCAAAATGACTGGAGATCCAACTGAAGCAAAAAGATCAGCCCTAAAGCTTTAGGCTTCAGTTTTCAGTTTTGTTGTGACCTGAAATTCCATTTTGTATGATCAACTTTATTTAGTCATCTTAAATTGACAAGAACAAAAAAAACATGCACTCAAATTTCAGTTGTTTTACCCTTTAGTGACGAGAAATAAATCCCTGCTGTTGAAAGGTCACCTAACCCCACATTTTTCTGCTATAGCTCAAGATGCTCATTCAGAAGCTTTAGATGATGGTAGGATGATGTCTTTGAAAGACAAGGAGTAACATGACAGAGAGGGCTATACCAGTACTGTACTGATTATCTTAAGATAAAAGTAATGTTAACCTAGTTAGCAAGTCTTCCAAAAAGCAGCTTACAGATGTCTGTGACTGTCTTGTCATGTCCAATACCTTGCACGCTGTAGCAATAATGTCATACTGCTTCACTTAACCTTATACATGCTATGTTTGATGACAAGTCTGGCAGCTCTGTTTATCTAATTAGCATAATGAAATCCAATGGCAATAACAGAAGGTCCATGATTAGATTTCATTATCTCTGTCAGATACTGTAGGGGTTGAACCCAAATATAGGACTCCTTGTAACAACTGAACAGCACTGAGTGCAGAACGATGCCAAAGCAGATCCTGATTCCATTAAACATTTGAATTATGGTCTCAATCACCAGTAAACTGTAACCGAATATTTTGTGGGCCATACCCCAAATCACAAAAAAATTCATTAAAATTCATTCATGATGTTTTGAGTTTATGCTGTTAACAAACAAGCAAACAGTGAAAACATAATCCCCTTGTCAGAGGTAATAATTACTACTACTACTGTACATTTTATGGGGTCAGTTTGGGTTGTAAAAAAAAAACTGAGATGCAAAACTGACAAGGAAATGGCAAGGGCAACATCCATGATCCAGGCAGTGGTCGTAATCCACAAGAAAACCGGCCACAGTCCAACAGAGTAATGGTAATTCAAATGGCAAGACATAATACATAGACAGGAAGTGGCATGAAAAGACAAACCAAGGTCAGTAACAAAGGGTGATAAACTATGAACGCTGGAAAATCACTAGTGATAACTAAGTGCACAAGCTGGCACAGTGTGCCTGTCTGATTGGGGCTGATATACCAGTATCTTGGCAAGTGCACCAACATGAGGGGGAGGGGTGTCTGAGAAAGAGTTGGTCAGGTCACCAGGAACCAAGCCCTAAGGAACAGCACTAGGATACGAAGCAAATTTGGCATAGTGCCCTAAGCGTGTTACTACAACTTAACTGTATTAAAATGCATCTTAATTTTATCTAACATTGTAACCCACACAATGTTGTTACAGTACAACACAAGATCAGAGATGCTAGATGAATAATGAAGTAGAACAGACCAAATGCTCTTAGAAGAAAACCCAAAGTTCTGGCTATTTTGAAGTGCCATTACTCAGCATAACAAGCTGCCCCTTTGTGGCTCAACTGCTGATTTGTCAAAATTGCTTCATGTAGCCAAGGCCCCAAGTGACTCCCCACTGTCAAGCCAACGCCTGTACCTTCAACCTTTGCAAAGTGCAAATGGGAATGTAAGAGCTCAAGGCTCAACAGCTTTGTTGCCAAGGAAACTTCAATGGAAATTCTGCTCCCAGTTGTCCATACAGTAGGGGCACAGAGCCTTACTTCAGAGCCTCACAATCCTGCCACTGACAGAAGTATGGAGAAATAAATGGGGACTACCAACAATGTCCCCTGAATGCTTGTGTCCAATTGAAAGTGGCTTTCATGTTGAGTGTGGCAGCAATGGACCAGGGGCAATAAAAGGGCTGTCTTGCTGGTTTATCACTCAGTCCTACAGTGCAGTGGATTTTCTGTATTTTCCAACTCTATATAATATTAGCATAGATTAAAATAAAGCAATGGGGCACCAGCAACTGCACTTTTGTTCATGTAGACCACTGTAAAAATCCCATGGTTCAAGATGCACAGTTTATTTCATAGGTAATGGTTGCCAATTATTCTAGGAATGTTATCTCATGAACATAACACAATGTTTGACTTGGAGATAAAAAGTTATCGTGTAATTGCTTAATTATCTCAAGCTCCTCAGTTATAGTTTTTAAAGCCAGTTATCCTGAGATAAGCATTTCATTATAGTGTTATCTAAGACAAACACTGTGTTGTTGTGAGGAGGAGATTTAAAAAAAAAAATTACAAATACAGTAATTATTTGTGATCATAACGTACTTAACAGAACTTGACTGATGATGGCAAAGGAATGAAATCAATAAGCTATCACTGTCACTGTTCCAAAAACATGTCAGGACACTCATGTGATCATGAAAAGGCAGTTCCATATCTCGAACTACTGTGATAATTGCAGTAAAGTATGGACAAACAGGAGATCTGATTAGAGAAGCTTGACACAGTTGATATCAACAAAACAGGGTTCAAATTGTGCTTCTTTTGGCATGGCAGAATACATTTTTAGAAAACTCATACAGCACTTCCACACCTGATAGAGATTTTGTATAATCTTGCAGTGTCTAGGAACCAGGTTCATTTTCTCCTTCACATGTCAAGTAGGTTGAAGAGCAGTATCGATGTAAACCCCGACAGCGAGGCCTATAATGATGACAGCTCAGTGTTTGGAATTTTTTTTCACTAGCCAGATTTCTCATTACCCTGGACTTCACCTCTTTCCAACTAAGTGACAGTGTCTTGCTCCCTTAATTTTGACATGGGTTCAGCATCACTTGATGTTATTGGGGCTCAAGGAAGGCCAGTGATGGTGCGACTCTCTCTTGATACATTCATTAAGGCCTACTCCACACGTTATGCCAGTATTTTTTTAAAATGGAGTTTTCAAGAGTACGCCAAGCCACCAGCAGGCGATATAACCTTAGCCATACAGTCACGTTGGTCAGTCAGGAAAAGGTTATTACTACTTCCTTTGGTGTTGGGGTTTCTGGAATAAATGAATGTTGCTAAGTGTAGCCGTGACCTCTTAGCGCATTCTGATGCCTCTGTTCATAGTTCGCAAGTAACTTCCTATGTAAGTGTAAACCTGGTTAGCAATATTACTACCATCAATAATTTGGCTACATCCTCCATTGCACAATACGGTGCAATACATCAATATTACCGTGGAGAAAGTTTTCCAAAACCTTTGTTTTTAGTGACCTAAATTGCATTTTTTGTGGGCCAAAGACCAAAATGCAGAGAAAAAGGTACTTTTTTTAAAAATACCTGTGTGCGTGTGCACAAGGCCTAAGGGTCCCAACAGTCTTTGCAGATTAATGTTGCCCTAAGTAGAGAAGTTTTACCTTTGTGCCTTTTGTTGAGCACTATTTCAACTGAAACAAACAAATCACTGGGCAAAAGAAATATCTGCCCACAGGCAAGTGTGTTTGCATGTGTTTGTTTGGTAAGTGTAAGAAGAAAGGGGGAGAGGGTTGTTGGGGAAGGCACGGCTCGGGGGAAGTTGACATGACTGAAGACAAGCACTTACAGTACAACTGACTTTGTTTTCTCCAGCAAGACAGTGTTTCAGGCTGCCTCCTCTCTGCTAGCCACAGGTAGAGTGCTTGGAGGGGAAAACAGGAGAATATAGGATTACAGTTGTGTAAGCAAAAAATTGAAGGTCATATCTGAGTTTATGGAACAGTTTTCACTGAGTTTCAGTGTAACTGTCTGTAGGAGAACTTAAGTTGTTTTTAAGTGGTTGTGGCAGGAACAGCTGACGAGCTCCTTTAATTTGTGAATGTTAGAAGGAAGAGTGAAATTCCCTTGATTCTATCCAATTTTGCGCCTCTGTCTGCAGAACTACATTCAAAAAGCTTCCACTTCCAGGTGGCTCGTTCTTTCTCAGAAAACCCCCCAAAAAATAAAAAGCTAATGTATGTAAGGGTTGTGAATGTTGTATCAAAAGTTTGCAGAAATGATTTGTTGTGGAGTTGCACAGTAAACATGCCAGATGTCAGCTTAAGGTCTGTTTGTGCTATAACATCAAACGAGAAGATGCGTTGCGGAGTAGGCAGTAAAAAAGAAGTTGCAGTTCAGTGAAATCCTATACATTAACCCTTCAACAAATATTAAGATAGGGCATGAACTTGTTTTTGTTGTTTTTCTGAGAGGGAAATCATTTTTTGAAATGTCTTTTACAATCATGGGAATAAATCGATTTAAAGACAGTTAACATGTACAAATATGAAAACGCCTGCATATAGTGAACAGTATACTGATTAGTCAGCAGACCCACTGAGAAACTGCAGTTACCATCTAATGAGTCTGGGCTTACTGGCTGAACGTTGGCTCAGTTCGGCAGCTCAGTGTTTGTTCTGTAAAAACCGGTTTGTCCAGAGCCTGCTGCGTTTAGTTTGGCCTCCGGTGCAAAAGCCAGAGACGCTCAGTTCGCTGTGACGAGAAATCAGAAAATAAATGTTAGGCATTTTTGCATGAAATACACTTGAACAACACTGTACAGGAATAATTACTCAGCTAGCGAACCATTGGGCTGCTGGTGGGACCAGTGGGCGTGCAGCCTCAGCCCAACCTGGCGGCTTAATGATTGACAGGAGCTGCTGGTTCAGGTGATTGCCCAACATGACCGAGTTCCTCTGTCACAGTCGGGCCTGGCAGTCTGGCCATCAGCCTCTAGCAGCTGCTCACTTACAAACAACGTGCAATTCATGTAGATTTTATTAATTTTAGAAATGTGACCCAGAAGACTTGTAGGAGTGTGTCGCACAGTGAGAGGCCGTGCAGGACTCACCCTCTATTTTAGTCTGGTGAGTCCTGGTTTTTATCAGCTCCTCATGTTTCAGTGTTTTAACCTGCCACGTTTGCACACAAAGCCACTGAAGAAGAACCACACTGGTCGTGTTGTTGGGGTTTTCACCGGGTGTGGATTTGGGACGTGTCTGCATGCAGGTATTTAATGTCTGAATGGATGTTTGTGATCAATAAAGTCGGATATTTTAACTTGTTTAAAAAAAAAATAAAAAAAAAAAAGCAGCATGGTGGCACAGCGAGAAGGTTCCGGGTTCGGGCCCCACCTGGGACCTTTCTGTGTGGAGTTTGCATGTTCTCCCCGTGCTTGCGTGGGTTCTCTCCGGGTACTCCGGCTTCCTCCCACAGTCTAAAGACATGCAGCTTAGGTTGATTGGTGTCTCTAAATTGCCCATAGGAGTGTGTGTGTGTGGTTGTTCATCTATGTGTTAGCCCTGCGATGGATTGGCGACCTGTCCAGGGTGTACCCTGCCTTCGCCCGATTGCCGAACGGGATTGGATTCAGTCTTCGATGAACATAACCAAGTAGTTTAAGTAACATAAAATGAATCTGAACCTATCCAGCAGATCACCAAACACTTTATCAATACATGTTTTGAAAGGCAATGACAGTGTCATATTAACATTTGTGTTATCAGATGAGAAAGGTCTGAACCCATTTTACCTATTTACTGGCATTTGAATGCTTTTTTTTAACACTTGATGCTTTAGTGTTGCCTGTTTTGCAAATTACAAACATTCATTCTGTTTGTGCATTCCCTTTAATGGTTCCTTTGCCTTGCTCCTGTGCTTGGCGTGCTCTTCTTCTGGGCACTCTCTGTAGGCATTCACATTTCTGGTGATATGCTTGCTCACCTTCACCAGCTGTTTTGCAAGGCTGACTGAGATAGCACATTAACGGGGGCCCCTTTTTCTAATTATGGTTTCTATTTACAGTATAATTACAGTAATATTTTGCTACTATAATGCAGTGAACTGGGAGATAAGCCTGTGGATATCAAGCTGTAGAGGGGATCACTAGTTCACTATTTGGAAAACCTAATGGTGTTTTGTGCAGTGGAGGCTTTTTAAACAGCATTTAAAAGGTAATCATATCAAGGATTTGCCCAAAAAGGCATCTGGCGAGACAATTTTTTTATAGAGGCCAATGCACAGCTTGTCTCTAATCTGAAAATGAAATTTTACTTTCAGCAGTCTGTTATCTAGTCTGACTGTGCATCAATGATCTTGTCCTCATTCCAAATGAAATTGTTTTCTCATGCTTGTGATATCAGTAATCTTGTGTATTAAATTGTAAGTGAAAACAAAAAAACAAGACAAAGAGAGTGACTCAGCTTAAAGAACATCCTGGCAGATGTTACATTGAAGGGACAAGGATGCTATGCAACTGCTACTACTGTATTCGTATTTATTTAACTAGTTAGTAAAGGAAATGATAAAAGCTAATGTGATATGAGACTGAACAAGTAACACAATTTGGAGTCACTGCACAGAAACCTCAGAATTCCATGAGAGGGATTGGATAGATAGTCTTGTCTAGGTCTCCCCTGAAAAAAAGATCTTTACCTCTGGTAAAACAAAGGATAAATAAATACTGAGAACAGATGTAAATGCACTTTTTGGTTGAGCATTGACTGACAGGCCTGACACAATCCTTACTGAGAACAGATGTAAATGCACTTTTTTGTTGAGCATTGACTGACAGGCCGGACAGAATCCTATATCTATTGCCGTAAAAGTCTACTATATAATCCTCTTGTCATGAAAATGAACCTTTGTGACTTTTAACTAACAGCAACGTGTCTTTCCAAAAACAATGTCTCTGTTGCTCTGGATACCCCACACTGTCAATAGCTTTTTTCATTGAACTACCTTTTATTAAAGGTACTGTATAACAGTACTTCTTGAAGATGGTATGGAGATCAAAAACCAGTGTTTCTAAATCTCTGCAGAGTCTCAAATGCATAAGGCGTACAGTCATTTCACTAACAACAGCACACGTCTTGGGTATCGCAAAACTCTGAACTTTGCTTTCATTTACATATTCTTCCACCCCTTGCGTTCAAGACTGCATTTTTCGACCTGTAATTTCAAGGTTGGACTGTCTAGAGAGACACGTGCCATAAAAGTCAATTAAAAAGCACTACACAGTGTTTCAGTGAAGGAATAAATCTCATATGTCGCGACAAGCACTAATGAACAATCAACCATAGAGCTACTCTTAGATTTCTAATGGTGTGGAGCCACTGATGCAGATCTGTTGGTACATGGTGGATTTTTGGATCTTAATGGATGTCAGGGACTGGCTCTTTACTCTACAAAATCAGTTACAAGTGCTTGTCAACAGAAAATCAGAAATTAAATTCAGCTAATATAGCTTTATATAAAGATACAATGAGCAAATTATCAGAGTACAGTAAGAGGCAGAATGAGAAACGAAGAGAGTGCATCAAGCCAAGTGGCAAAACAATTGCCTTATTACCTTTTCGTACAAATAAATGGCAAGGAAGATGATCCTAACAGTAGCTATCAAGATACTGCATTGTGCTTTAGTTTCAACTCTGAAACTTGAGTAGCATGGGCATCCCATTGCTGTGATTTTAGTGTCAACCTGGTGAATTCTAGTCTAATACTTGCAGGTCTTTTCAGCCCTGGTTTGGTCCACCAGCTCATTAGAAAAGCATGCGACTCTTTTGTTTGTCTCTTCACCAGCCTTCTGCTCTCTGCCATTTGTCACACATAATGTAAAGCCAAATGTACTGATGGGAGTTTGAAAAAGAAAACTAAGCTTCTAATGTACAGAAGCCTTCAGCTACTGTAACACCTAAGGCTTATTGCTATGTATGGCCCCAAGTATTAACAGCAAAAAAGACCTTTGGCTTAATGCATACACCTTGGGCTGGAAGGCACAGACTTTTATCTGCCCAAAATAATGTGAAGCCATTCCTTCCACAAGTATTTTTGTATAATCAGCCAGAGAGCCGCCTTACAGCTCTTTTCATGGAAATTGCTTTCATTAATGATACACAGAATTTTTCAGAAAGCAGCTTTCTACCTCTGAAAGCAGTAAAAACACTGCAGAAAGACTGAGATTGTGAGATGCCAGGCTTAGGTTCTGTCCCTGATTATTCAAAAGGCAGATAAAGCAAATGCACAATTACAAACAAGAGAAAAAGCATCCTGTTCAACAAATCGCTTAGCCTCGTGCTGTGGAGACTTACTTTTCATGTGCCAATAAAAAAAGGGGAAAAAATATGTGGTGAGATCATCAGACTTGTTTGTTCCAAAACTGAAGAAAGTTCCACTTTATTTCTATAATAATCCCAAATCATTTGGGTGATAATGAACAGGGAAAGCATTTTTAAAATGTATCAGAAAATAATGTTAAGAGTGAATGACTGCAAAATGGGACGAGAGTACTTTTTATTAACCAACTTCTTACTTTTATTTAGAGCAGAAATCAAAGCTGGACTCTTGAATAAATTAGAAAATGCAGGGAAATGGATTTGATAAGTGAGTCAAAGCATTGTGGAGTTGTCTGCTCATGTTTGTAATGAAGTAAGCAAGGTGGCCTTGATTGAAATAGGAGCTCGGGAAATGACAGCTTCAGCGAATCACACGGCATCAACCCTGAACCAATTTGCTCTAGAGGAAAATTGACAGTTGCCAAAGTGGCCATTATTCTCAAGCAATCAGGCTTTTTAAAAGTGCTGAGACCAGGTGAAAATTACCACTTATTCAGAGCAATGGTCCTGCAACTATATGGGACAACACTGCTGCACAGATCGCACCTCGTCTCTCTCAGTAGTGTTATTAAAACACAGATGTGGACATAAGCAAACAATTGTTTATCAAATTTAATGGTGGCACAGATTTTCAATTTAGCTAATAAATTGAAAATGTTTTCTTTCCATGCAGATTAACAGTCCTCTGTGGCATGAAAAGCTTTGCATTTATTGACTAGACATGGTCAGCCACTTTGTAATTTAGTCATAAACAATTGAGTTTCTTATTGTTTGTCTGACATTTTCTGCATTAGCCCTCAAGGACAGAAATTCCCAAATCTCAATCTCTCCAGTTTGACATTTTTGTTGGCATCTTTGTATGAATGACCCTGCTTCATCATCATCGGATATTTGTATTTTTCTGGTTTTGTGCCAGTCACATGATAGTGTCATCAACATGTCCACTAGCTGGGTGTGAATAAACTGTAAGACACTCTATTCACACATAGGTTCACTCGGACATAACGCTGACTTGGTACTAAGTTGCTGGCAGGGTAAAGTCCACTCGGTGTCTGGGCCAACTACTGTAACTCGGACATTTGCTATTGCACATACAGCTCCCCTGCATGATGTCTTGATAATATCAGGGTTGCAGTGCATGTCTGAGAAGGAGCTTATGATCTCAGCCCCCAGATTCTCCCACTGTGATGGAAAGAGCAATTCTACATTAAGTATTGTATTCTAATTGCATCTGATTAATGACAGTGTCAGCACAGATGAAACAGGACTCCAACAATTAACCAATTAACCAGCAGTTAAGCGTACTGATATAGGCAATAATGATATAAGGGTTGACAGTAGGCTAAAGTGAAGGTACTAGACACTAATGAGATGAGCTCATGCAGAGAAATTCAATATCCTAAGTGCCACATTACACTACAGTGAAGTCTGGGACCTGGAGTCTCTGCCTTTTAACTATTTTTGAACCACTATGTGTTAAATGTTATGTTGTTGTCTTACTAACCTTTCTGCTTGTGTGTTTAAGGCTTTGTTTAAGGCTAATGTTACAAGATGTTTAAGTTACAAGTTGAAAATGGATAAATATTTGGTGTGATCAAGCCCTTTAAACTCCCTTCACCTGTTTACCACAGTGGAGAATAAAGTTATTATTGAAATAGTAAAGAAATTGTTTGACATTTAGATCTTGTATAGGAGCCCAAATTTGTGCTCATTACGGTTACCATAAACTTAACACACTTTTTCCCTTCAGCAGTATTGTAAAGCATGACCAGGTAAAATCATCAAAACCCCTGATATGCCTATAATCTAGATGGGTGTGAAGTCTGTTTAATCAAACCTTCACTACAGGCCTAAAATATATTTCACATTCTTCACTTGACTGGTTTACACAACCAC